AGAGGGAGAAGCAGACTCCCCGCCGAGCAGGGAGCCCGACGCGGGACTCGATCCAGGGACTCCAGGATCATGACCTGAGCCGAAGGCAGTTGCTTAACCAGCTGAGCCACCCAGGCGCCCTTCTGTTTCCTTTTAATTTAATGTTTTGGTGTTCATGCAGGACTTTAGTATTTAGTATTATGTGTTTAGTATTTACCAGTTTTTCCCTTTAGAGCAAGGATCACCAAACTTTTTCTGTAAAGATCCAAGCATAAATATTGTCAGTTTTGTGAGCCATATGGTCTCTCTCACACCTAGGCAGTGCTGTGGTTGGAGAGTGAAAGCAGCCATAGACAGTACATAAATGACTTGGCATGGCGGAGTTTCAAGAAACTTTATTTCTAGAAACAGGTGAGGGCCACATTTGGTTTATAGGCTGTGTTTTGCCATCCCCTGCTTTAGAGCATCTGGACTCCCATGTGAAATACCTTATTAAATATAAGATTTAAAACACTATAGGTTAAAAATAAATAATAAAACACCCTATGTCTTTGTTTACTGTTTTTTGTTGTTACTTTGGTGTTTTTGAGTTTAATACCTTTTTTTAAATTGAGATATAATTGACATAAAACATTGTATCACCATAGGTTTTATTATTGTGTTTATAGTAAGTTTTATTTTCAAGTTTTGTTACTTTTGGAGTTTATTTTGCAATATGGTATGAGATTATGGTCCAAGTTTTTTCCCCAAATGGGCAACCAGTTGTCATAACAACTTCTGCCGTATAAATCATCTATATTTTCTCCACTGATGTAAAATTTTATTTCAATTTTAATCATACAATAACTCTCTTTATATCTGGTATATTTCTGGAATCAATTCTGTTCTGTTGATCTACTTTTTGACCATTACTCTAGTATTTTAATTATCACTTCGTAATACCATATATATCTGACAGGACTTAATCCCCAACATTATTTTTTGTTGTTGTTTCTCAAGAATTTTTCTAGCTGGTTTTTTGTTTCTCAAGAATTTTTCTAGCTATTTTATATTTCCAAATTAATTTTAGTAGCAGTTTGTCAAGTTAAAAAAGTCCACTTAAATTTTGATAGAGATCACTTTGAATTTATATATTAACTAATGAGAAATATAAAAATATGACATATGTACAATGAATTTTTCTAAAAAAAATAAGTCCTTCCATTTACTCAAGATTTTTTTACTTTCTCCCCTCACTTTATTGAGATAAAATTGACAAATAAAATTGTGAGACACATAAAGTAAGTGTTGTTGTGATTTGATACATATATACATTATGGAAGGACTCTCACCATCTAGGTAATTAACATATCCATTATCTCACATATTTATCTTGTGTGTGTGTGTGTCTTAGAGAGAAAGCATTTTAGTTCATTCTCTCAGCAAATTTCAATTATATAATATAGTGTTATTACCTATAGTCATCATGATTTACTTAGATCCTCAGACTTTATTCATCTTATAGCTGGAAGTTTGTACTCTTTTACCAACCTCTCCATATTTTCCCCAAACCAACCCCCAATCCCTGGCAAACACTACTTTTCTATTCTGTGTTTCTGAGTTTGGGTTGTTTGATTGATTGATGTCTTTATTCCTTTTAGATTTCACATATAAGTGATACCGTGCAATATTTGTCTTTCACTGCCAGGCTTATTTCACTTAGTATAATGCCCTCAAGTTACATCCATGTTGTCACAAATGGTAGGATTTCCTTCCTTCTTATGGATGAATAATATTCCATTGTATGTATATACAACAACTTTACCCCTTCATTCATAGACAGACACTTGGGTTGTTTCCATATCTTGGCTATTGTGATGTTGTACAATACTGTAATGAACATGGGAGTGCAGATATCTCTTTGGGATCCTGCTTTCATTTCCTTGAATATATACCATAAGTGGGATTCCTGGATCATATGCAGTTCTAATTTTTATTTTTTGAGGAATCTTCATACTGTTTTCCATAATAGCTGCATCAATTTACTTTCCCATCAACAGGGCACAAGGGTTTCCTTTCTCTACATTCTCGCTAACACTTGTTATCTCTTGTCTTTTTCATAATAGTCATTCTGACAGGAATGAAGTGATATCTCATTATGTTTTGATTTTCATTTCCCTGATGATTAGAGATGTCGAGCACCTTTTCATGTGCCTGCTGGACATTTGTATTCTTCCATGGAAAAATACCCATTCAGTTGTTCTGCCCATTTTAAAAATCAGATTGTTTGGTTTTTCACTACTGAGTTGTATGAGTTCTTTACATATTTTGGATATTAACCCCTTATCAGATATATGATTTGTAAATATTTTTCCCCATTCTATAAGTTGCCTTTTCATTTTGTTGATGTTTTCCTTTTTTATGCAGAAGCTTTTTAGTTTGATGGAATCCTACTTGTTTATTTTTGCTTTTGTGCCTCTATTTGGGTGTCAAATCCAAAAAGTCATTTCCAAGACCAAGGTCAGGGAGCTTACCCCTTATGTTTTCTTCTAAGAGTTTTACAGTTTCAGGTCTTCTGTTCAAGTCTTAATCTAATTTGGGTTGATTTTTGTGTATGGTATAAGATAGGGATGCAGTTTCATTTTTGTTGCATGTGGCTATCCAGTTTTTGTAACATTATTTATTGAAGACTATTCCCCATTGTATATTCTTGACAACTTTGTTGTAAATTAATTGACCATACAGTGATGGGTTTATTTCTGGGTTCTCTAATCTGTTCTATTGGTCTATGTATCTCTTTTTATGCCAATCCCATACTGTTTTAATTACTATAGCATTGTAATATAGTTTGAAATAAGGAAGTATATGTCTACAGCTTTATTCTTTTTGGTCAAGATTGCTTTGGCTATTCAGGGTCCTTTGTGTTTCTGTACAAATTTTATGATTATTCCCTCTATTTCTATAAAAAATGGTGTTGGAATTTTGATAGGGATTGCATTGAATCTGTAGATTGCTTTCAGTAGTATGGGCATTTTAACAATATTAATTCTTCCAATTCATGATCATGGAATAACATGCCATTTATTTGTGTCTTCTTTGATTTATTTCATCCCTGGTTAAATTTACTCCTAGGTGAAATTATTATTTTTGATGAAGTTGTAAATGGAATTGTTTTCTTAATTTCTCTTTCTGATAGTTTGTTGTTAGTGTATAGAAATGCAACTGATTTTTATATATTGATTTTGTATACTGCAACTTCACTGAATTTGTTTATTAGTCCTAACAGTTTTTGGTAGAGTCTTTAGAGTTTTGTATATT